GGACCAAACCTTATTATATCAATAATCACTACAACAAATTCCAAGGTTGTCCAGTTGCCAGATCTTGTATGAAACGCATCTTTCTCACACGATCGACGCATACAAATTTCAACCCATTTGTCCCCTCAACTTGGCAACCTACAGCCCAGTGATGCTATTGATATGTGCCCAGGTAGTATCGCGGGAAGGAAACAATTGATCACTGGTAGAAATGGGAGGAGAAGACTCAGGTGGTGCTCCAGTGAAAAAAACTAAATATACATGTAAATTGAGATATACCTTACACTTCAAAAGGCTATTTAATTGATTACATATGAGCGCTGCTGCTTTGTTTACTGCGGTTACAGGGGTAAACGGCTATATTCCTGGTGAAAAGCACCACCTGCTGGCAGAGAATTAATTAGCATTTTTCAAGAAGCCCTGCGCTTTAGACTAAAGCCAAAAACTACCCTTATTTTTACGCAGAAAACACGCAGTTGTAAATGTGAACTGGTGGACCGACAAGAAGATAATGAATTATAAAATTCTAAAGATATAGCCTACACTAAGATATATTTATGTTACTAAATGAATAGAATTGTTTGATAATAATTGTTTAAATTAATATAAAAATAATATAATATGTTACTTTTGACTCCTTGATTGCTAATTTACCTCATGATATAGTTAAGCAATATCATATAGCAAAAGTGCTATTTTTCCCGAACATATCTCACGATTGCAAACAACAGTTCAATAAACAAGAATTCAATATTGTGTTACATTTCTGGCATGATATTGTCAGTAGCCACAGCAGAACTGTTGTGTGTCTCTAAGCAACACAAAGTGTATCGTTTGTACTTAAATATTTTACAGCTAAGGGATTCATCTTACAGAGAGAGAAAAAAAAAAGTTTGGGAACCCCTATCCTAGGAAATTCCAGGCCCCAGTGTTATGACGAGGCCCCTCTCTGACTTCCACAGTGGAGAAAGCTTTGCTACATATTGTTTGGATCTTTGTGGACTAACATAAACAAGTCATCAGATGAGGCTGCTGAGAACAACTTCCAGATATCTTAGAGGGCAAGAAGAAGATCCCAGTGCAAGGCACAGAAAGGAGAAGACTTCCTATTGGTCCACATGCAGTTTCTTTCAAACTAACTGCCCTTTAACCATCTTGAAACTCATTTCTAAAGGCCCAGACACACCAAACTGACATCAACTAGTGAACTAGTGGCATCGAAAGCCAACTGCAATGTCGCCTCAGGTCGACTGTTTTGGGGCAAAAAAACTGCACCTGAACTGACTGTGAACACTACAGCCAACAGCCAGCGAGCATGTATGTTCTGTGCCTGTGTGAGAGTGAAGAAGTCTCCATACCAGCAGGTGGCAGTAGTCTATATTCAAAAAGGAAAACCTGTATACAAATCCTAAACAAAGCAGTGCCTGTTTACAATTTTTACACCAATCTTTTTCACCACAGACCGTTTAAAAAAAATCGATACAGATGAGATGACGAAAAATGAGAAGCGTCTTCAGTGTATGATCTCTTAACTTTTATTATTTGCTTGCTTTCATCACTTACATTTACAGTGTTTTTTTCATGCAATGGTTCGCTAAGCTGAACAGCCAACCAGACTGATCCCTTCTCCACTGACCATTCAACATGTTCAAATGGTGGAAAACAGCAAAAACTAGGCGACAGACACTCAGTGATGGCCCAACAGTGGCCAACAGCCAACCATCAGCTTAGTAAGCTTTAAGAGCCACAAAGACCCATCCAAATCCATTCATAACTATGTTTGAAAAGCTTACAATTGATGTAAACTCAACACATACAAATCATACTTTTTCAGAGAAATATGTATTCTTAATGACTGCTGACAACAACAGTTGTAATACAATACAAATACAACAGTTCAAACATAGAAATGAATAGATGCATGATCCAAATTCAAACTGTAATCTACTTCTCACTGGAGAGAAATGTGATAAATGAAACCTTTCAACCCTTACTGTTGCTACGTCCGACAAGCAGAGCAGGTTACGTTTGGTATGAGACAAGTCTCAGCTTTCAAATTTGGTCTTTTTTTTTTATTCCATCAATAAATACCATTTTGTGGCTCTTTAATATTTTGTGACAGATAGCGTCTCAGTTCAAGCGGCACGTGAACCGATCATCTTTTCATATTTACTAGTCAAAGCATGAAATAAACATGAATGAACATCAGAAGGTATTTTATTTTAACTGTGGAAAGATTTTTCAAGTTTAAGTCCACCGAAGTTAATCTTCGGTTTGTTTGTTGGACAAAATGGCGGATTCTGCGTTAGGATTGGTCAGATCGCCAGTCAATCAATCTCCCTGCGAAGGGTCAATTCACAAAGCGGGTCACTGAGTGCTGAAAGTGTAAAGGTCATCAGTGCCCTGCTGCCAAACTTCCACTGACATTAAAGGTACTGTATGTAATTGTTTTACTGTACCAAAGCATAAAAACACCAAAATATATTCGTAGATATTTAGGAAACATGCCAAGTTCACATACTTGTTTCTCTGAAAAACAACGCTAAAGCCAGTTATTCTACTTTGAAAATGTGCATTCCGTGTCAGAATGCCTGCTTTTGTTTTGGTCTGTGTGATTCCGCCCACTGCCAGTTTAACCAATAGTATTTTGACACTCCGGGTTGACAGAGAGCGGAAAAAAGTGCATCACAGCCATGGAAGCCAGCAAATGAACTGGCTCAGAGATTGCAGATTCTACCCGACCTAAAAAGCCTCGGCATCAATCTAAAAACCTCTAAGACCAGAGGCATATTAAAACGAGGATAAATCAACTCATCAACTTACAGTGTAAGACTCACCGCTTTCATTGTCGAATGCGATTATTCCCGTTGCGTGTCTTCAATCTGACAACTCGCTGGAGGAGGGGCCGGGAGAAACAATATTTTGAATTTGGACTGCAGTACCCATTTCAACCGCCAGCTGTTAATATTACATACTGCACCTTTAACATCAGCACAAAAACTGTGCGGCAGGAGCTTCGTGGAATGGGTTTCCATGGCCGAGCAACTGTATGCAAGCCTCACATCAACAAGAACAATGGCAAGCATCAGATGGTGAATCACGCTTCTCTGTTTGATAGCCTGATGGGCGAGTCTGGGTTTGGCAGATGCCAGAAGAAAGTTAGCTGCCTGACTGCATTGTGCCAGCTGTAAAGTTTGGTGGATAAAGATATGGCTGAATGAGTTTGGTGTGGAAGAACTTGACTGGCCCACACAGAGCCCTGACTTCAACCCCATCAAACACCTTTGGGATGAACCTGAACACAGATTTTGAGTCAGGCTCTCGTCCAACATCAGTGCCTGACCTCACAAAGGCTCTACAGGATGAATGGGCAAAAATTCCCACAGAAACACTCCAAAATCTTGTGGAAAGCCTTCGCTGAAGAGTGGAAGCGGCAAAGGGGGGACCAACTCAATATTAATGTCAATGTATTTAGAATGTGATTTCATTAAATTCCCTGGTGGTGTAATGGTCAGGTGTCCAAATACTTTTGTCCATACAGAGTCCTTCATCTGCGTGTTTCAGATTGCTAGGACCCCATTCATTTAAGAGAAACAAGTCTATCTTTTCCTAGATAATGTAACTCTGCCATAGCAACATCCAACTTAATTGACATTATATGCATTTTATGCACCACTTCTGGTCACTTTTACCTTTGTACAGTGAAATTCACCAGGCAATCTCAATAGAAATCGTCATGATCAGGAATTTTACATGAGGCAAACAAACTTCCCCATTTGGATTTAGAAATGGATTCAAGTTGAACTCTGAATATGCAAATTCACTGTATAAACCAACATAAAGCTGCTTATTCAGTGGGATGCCCACCACACATTATAGGTCTTCTTTGTGTGTGTGTGTGTGTGTGTTGTTATTTATGGATCCAATGGTCTTGTTAATGTAAACACCTTGAGTCCAACACAAATTTCCCCTTTGGGGACAATAATAAAGTCTATTTAATTTGATCATATTTCATTTCTTGGGTCCTAAGATCTGTACTTGAGCAAATCACTTCTTACTCAACATGCATAAATCAATTTTAAAATAGAAAAACCCAATTTTAAGAGATTTTTTTCCCAACTCAACTGGACCTGACTTTCTGAACTGGTTTTGACAAAGACAAAAATCAGAGACTACCGATAAGAAACAGTAGGTGAAGATTTAAAAGTGTGGCTATCTTCCTATCTTATTTGAAGATGAAATTAATTCTTTGATCCTTCTTTGTAATGTTTATGTTAGCATATGACTGCTATTTAATGAATATACTTGCACATATTTTGGTAACAGAAACCCACATCTCCCCTTTCAGATTATTTCCTAACGAGACCATCATGCAGTGAAATGCATGTCCTCACCCACAGTCAGGCAGAACTGCAGGACGTGTACCGCTCCTTCCTCCTTCAGGAAACTCATAAAACGAAACAACAGATCCTGTTGCTCTCTGATCTCCTTTAAATCCAATTTCAACACCTGACAGAAGAACAAACAAAAGAAACGACCTGTAAGGTTTTGTTCAAGACATTTACTAGATGCAATAACTCAAAAAACACTGAAATAATATCGTAAGTACACTTTGAAATTGATCAACCTTCTCACTACAACTCTTTTCCTTAATACGTCTTGATAAAACCTGAAATCGTAATATTAAGGTGGCCAAAGTACACACCGAGGATTTCGTGTTGCGTGGGTCTGCAAACTTCTCCAGGAAGGGCACCAGCGCAGATGGAGGGTCAGTCACTGGCTCAGGCTAACAGCACAAATGACAGAAAAAAAAATATGAAAAAAAAAACATGTTTAAAAGGCAGGAAAGTCTGATTGACCAGACTATAATTCATTTGGTTGAATCACTCACTGGAGTATCATCAATGAAAATGAGCACCATGTGATTCACTGTGTCCTGGAAAACAAAAAAAAGTGATTCATGAATATGATTAACAACTACAAGAAAAACAACATTTATTTACATTTATACAGTGTACCAAATGCAGCTATTGCAAAAAAACAAACAAAAAAAACACTGTAATACTTTAATCAATTTAATTTATTAATGAAAAAACACTATAATACTGTAATCAATTTAATTTATTAATTAAAAAATCACTATAATACTGTAATCAAATTAATTTATCAATGAAGAACAAAGAGAAAATATATCTATGGTTTAATGTCCTCATTTAAGCTGTTTCACTCACAGGATCAGCCACGAAGTCCATTATTGGCAGAAAAACAGAACCTGTCATGACCTCTCGAATCAGCAGGGCCAAAGATCTGAGAACGAACCACAAAGTGTGAGAGATGCACCTGCAGTCTGTAGCTTTGGGGGGCATGACGTAAGGAAACAGCAGCTCTGTGAGCTTCCTCAAGTACAGCAGCTCATCTTTGCGGCTCCGCAGAGCCACATGCAAATCGGCACCGTATTCAGCTAGTGCTGCCTGCTGGAGACCCTCTGTATTCTTCACTGCTCACACCATTTGAACAAAAAAAGATGGTTAACAAAATTAATTAAACTGATGGTGCCACAAATGCAAACTGTCCTTTACACTTAAGATGAGAGATGCTCTACAGGTGAATGGAAGTCCCACAGTTCAGTTTAAAGAACCAACCCTCTCTTGATAGCTTATTTATTTAGTTCTTGTAATTCTAGACCGAAGCTCCTCTGATATTAAATGATTTCATCACAGGACGCACCTTTCTGCTGTGCTTTTGCAATGATCTCAATGTGCTTCATAGCGGCCTTCATCATTTTGTCCATCAAAACTAAGGGAACATCCACCTACAAGACAGTTTTAGTCAGTATGCCACTTTGTAAATCTATAGAAAGCTACAGTATGTAAATTGTGAATTGTGTGAAGGTGTATGCACTCTTTTTGCTCGGTGAGCCAGAACTGCAGCAAAGAAACGGATTGTTTGTCTCAGTTCATCGACACACGCCTCATCACCTGTAATATCTCTAATGGTAAAACATCATAAAAGAAAAAAAACTTGAATATTGCTTACATTTTTCCAGCTAAAGCATGGAATAAGAGTAACTTTTGCCTTTAAAGCAGACACACCTGTACCATGGGTATACAAAGTTCTCTAGAACTAACTCCAAAACCTGAAGATCAGTCAAACAAAGGATTTATTAATTTGATTTATTAATTTGCTTATATATCATTTTACTCATGACTGGAATTATGGCTCTACCTCTGAAATACTGGCATCCACTTTGGACGGCACTTTTAAGTCCAGCCATGGCTGATAGTTCTCCAGCAGAAGGGTAGGTCTTTGGAATAAAAACACAAATAATTACATTTATGTCATCATTATTTAAGTTTTTTTTTTTCAAAATACTAAACAACTGATCTTGCCCTTTAATTTGTATTGTAGAATGCTACAGAATTATTTGTTTGGTTTGTCTTTTTCAAGCTAGAATGTTTCTTTGCGTTTTAAGTTTAAACCCAAGATGAATAGCGTTTAAAAAGAGTCTTTAAAACCCAATATTGTGTTCTCCCTTCTTACTTAAACAGAGATACTAATTAGTAGCTGCACTTAAATCATCAAAAAATGAATAATGAACCTTAAATATAGGATTTTTTCCACATTACAGCAGGCTGGTGGAAAAGGGTTTAAATGTGCTTACTTGTCAGGAATGTAATGTAAAAATGTAAACAAAAAAAATCGTAATTATCCAAAAAAACAGACCTAGAAGTTTTGTATCACCTTGGTTCCCCTGACAAAAACCCATGGATTTTTCCATTTGGCTTTTGGAATGTTGCAGAAAATAAGCTTTTGACCAACAAAAGTTTCTGATTCTTGGACGTTTTGTTCATCATGATAATCCAGAACTTGTACACAACTATGAATTTTGAAGCCAAAATACATTAGCCATAATTAAAAAGCTAAATGTAAGCTATAAATGGACTACATTGTGGTCGCACAACTTCAACATCACTAAGCTTCCAACAACTCTTTTAGTCTTTATTTAAAAAACATTTTCCCTAAAAGATTTTATATCATACCTGTGGCGTTTGCACTGGTTTTTCCCACATACTGCACAACTGTGACCCAGCGGGAATAATTCTTGCTGTTTCTGTGGCTGAGGATGCACAGACATACAGTATATTAATCATTAATACAGTACAGACATTAAAGTCTCAAAAGGGTTTAAAAGACACTAAATATTCAGTAATATTATCAATTTGACAGTACTGACACTATTGGATGACAACAAAACTTGAACTGAATAATGACACTGTTGTCTTCTGTAGATCTGCTTTATAGCTGAATCACATTTGTTTCATAATTGACAAATCGACACTATTGACTTTTTAGAGCTGCTTTACCGAATTTGTCTCATATTTGATGAAGTTTGCATCACTGATAGTTGTTTTTATTACTATGACGCCGCTTTGAAACAATCTGTATTGGATAATGCATTATAAAAATAAAGGTCACTTGGATTCAATATAATGCTGATAATATATACAGAATGCAAACCAAAGTTGTAGACTGTCACTGTCTAACTGCAGGCCATCATCACCAACAACACATGAAATGGGCTCAAGGTCATCAAGATTTGACCGGGATGATTGGAAGAAAGTGGCCTGGTCTGACGAATCAAGATATATCTCCTATATTAATTGCCTATATACTAGCACTACACTAGCACTCTCTATTCTATCTGCTTGTCTTCTTTTTAATTATTATAACATAATAATAACAACTTGACCCTCTAACACTAGATCTATTCTACTTCTTTATTCTTTTTTATTATTATTTAAAAAAAACTTGCTACATGTGCTGCATTAGGCTAAACTGGGACTTGTCATAGCACTTACTGTATATATTGCTGCTCTTGGTTTGTTTGCTTCTATTGTCCTCATTTGTAAATCGCACTGGATAAAAGCGTCTGCTAAATGATTAAATGTAAATGTAAATATGCTCCCCCAGTTTCCTCTCAGTATCCAGATCACGGTGACCTCAGGATGGTGCAGGCCATGTTTGAGCATTCTAAGGCAGACCCAGATACAGATCAGGAAGATGACATGGATTCCTTCCTGCCTGAGACCATCTGGGGGCTAGGAGTGAAAGGAGATGCTCAACTGTGCCCCCTCACGGCTAATAGCAGTACTAAAAAGAGCGAAGATGGAAAGGGAGCTGGGGAAATTATATCTGGGAGCTGAAGTGGAGAAAGATGCATGGGAAGTGATCTCACCGTTGCTGAAAGACTGTATCAAAAGTAAAACTGATTCTGATTGGTCCAAGGTACAGTACTTCTGTTAATCACAGGGCCAGGAAAGATGGAGCAGACTACATAGAAAGACTGATGTCAGCATACATTAAGCACTCTGGTATGGTAACGAGAGACACTGACCTCGATGACTTGCTGAAGCAGCAGGGTAACAAGGGACCATTTGTTGGGATATAAAAAAAAGCACTAGTGCCAATGGTGACTTCATTAGGCCCCGATCAGAAAGAACGTGTTTTTTGCAGTGAGGGGTGCCTTTTTTAAAATTGTTTTCTATTGGCAGTGAGCGTCTTGCATGCCTCGCATTTTAGCTGCCTGCTGCGCCTCGCGTTTTTGTAGCGCTCTGAGTGCCTGAAGTTGAAAAAAAACAACAACTCTAAGCAGAAAAGCGCCCAACGTCATTCACGTTTTTTTTCCTGTAGATGTGGGTCTTTTGTTGTGGTGACGGAGGTTTACAGTTGCTTGGAACGTCCGGAGACTGCAATGATGGAGGAGAAACTTATGGTGGCTGTCGCAGGTTACCTGGAGCTGTTTTTTATTGTTGTTTTTTTTAAGTTTCTGCTAATATGACAGTTTACTTAAAGGGGTCATATGAAGCGATTTCAAGTTTTCCTTTCTCTTTGGAGTGTTACAAGCTGTTCATGCATAGATAAGATCCCTAAAGTCTGAAACCCAAAGAGATATTCTTTATAAAAGTTAAGACTCGTCCACGCCCTCCTAAAACACCTCGAGTAATTATGTCCCCACTGGATGCAAAAAATGCCTTGTTTGTAATGGTTTTTATTGGTTTTGTGTCGTTGCGCCGGAACATGGCATCACAGTATGGTAGGGGCGTAACATTTCCGTCACACGTTTGAGGTATTCAGCCAATCACAACGCACTGATAACTGGCCAATCAGAGCACACCTCACTTTTCAGACCGATGAGCTTTGTAAAAATCGACGCGTTTCAGAAAGGCGGGGCATAGAGGAGAAACAATAATGTACAGTATGTGGAAAATAATGTGTTTTTTTTTTTTACCTTAAACCGCATAAACACATTTCATTACACCAAATCCACAAAATAATGTTCTTTTTAGCAACATCATATGACCCCTTTAACAGCAAACCAAAGATTTTAGAGCGCTATAATCCTTGATTAGACTGACAGGACAGCTGATTCGCTGATTGCCTAGCAACATAAAAAAAGCAGCACACTACTCTTTTCTGAACCAAAGTGAACCAAAAAAGGCAGTGCGGTGCACCTCGTGTTTTCAAACCTGAAACATGTATTCTGTCTGATCGGGGTCTTACTTGACCCTACGCAAGAGGGGGTCAGTTTACCCAGCTGCACAGGCACTTGGGGTGACCCTTGCTTGTCAGAGGTCGCCATGATAAAAAGGGGCACTGGGAGATAGACAGAGAAAGCAAAGAAAGAAAGAACCAAACATCAAGCAAAGTGGGCATCAAGAAAGGTTTGGCATGACATGCAGCGGCACCGTCTCAATCTGTCTGGCGCGGATAAAATAATTATAATGCTAAAGGTGAGGTACAGTTCATATTTCTTTATTAAATACCTTACGAAGTCATTTGAAAACTTTCTGAGAGATGTAATTTCACAAACAGCTTGAGTGAATCACCGCACGCTCTCTCTTTCCCTCTCTAAATGCGCAAATGGCTTCAAATCAGCACATCGTGTCTGCACTATAAGCGAGCTGCACGAGGCAGTGTCACATTGTCACTAAAGTTTATAATTTGCATTTCTTTTTAAGTCTTGCCAGCGTTTAAACCATTCAGCACTCGCACGCTCTCCTAGGGGCCACCTCACATACAGCTCACAAAATCAGGCTTGCGCTGTGTGTAAGCTATTGTGCAACAACTGCCCCATTGTAAAAACAAAAATGCACTGCATGATCAAACATTTAGGTGAGATAATTATATTTTGGAAAATGTCTAAAAAATCCTCCAAAAATCCTGATTGGAGCACCCTTAATCACTAATTATTTACTACAATTTTATCTCAATAAAGGTAAAGACTGGATGCACCAAATGCCTCGTTTATAATGGGTTTTTAATGTTTTTGTCTCGTCGCTCCGGCCTGACAGGGCATCATTACAGTATGTGAGGGGCGTAACATTTCCGTCACACGTTTGAGGTATTCAGCCAATCACAACGCACTGATAGCTGGCCAATCAGAGCACACCTCACTTTTCAGACCGATGAGCTTTGTAAAAATCGACGCGTTTCAGAAAGGCGGGGCATAGAGGAGAAACAATAATGTACAGTATGTGGAAAATAATGTGTTTTTTTTTTTTACCTTAAACCGAATAAACACATTTCATTACACCAAATCCACACAATAATGTTCTTTTTAGCAACATCATATGACCCCTTTAACAGCAAACCAAAGATTTTAGAGCGCTATAATCCTTGATTAGACTGACAGGACAGCTGATTCGCTGATTGCCTAGCAACATAAAAAAAGCAGCACACTACTCTTTTCTGAACCAAAGTGAACCAAAAAAGGCAGTGCGGTGCACCTCGTGTTTTCAAACCTGAAACATGTATTCTGTCTGATCGGGGTCTTACTTGACCCTACGCAAGAGGGGGTCAGTTTACCCAGCTGCACAGGCACTTGGGGTGACCCTTGCTTGTCAGAGGTCGCCATGATAAAAAGGGGCACTGGGAGATAGACAGAGAAAGCAAAGAAAGAAAGAACCAAACATCAAGCAAAGTGGGCATCAAGAAAGGTTTGGCATGACATGCAGCGGCACCGTCTCAATCTGTCTGGCGCGGATAAAATAATTATAATGCTAAAGGTGAGGTACAGTTCATATTTCTTTATTAAATACCTTACGAAGTCATTTGAAAACTTTCTGAGAGATGTAATTTCACAAACAGCTTGAGTGAATCACCGCACGCTCTCTCTTTCCCTCTCTAAATGCGCAAATGGCTTCAAATCAGCACATCGTGTCTGCACTATAAGCGAGCTGCACGAGGCAGTGTCACATTGTCACTAAAGTTTATAATTTGCATTTCTTTTTAAGTCTTGCCAGCGTTTAAACCATTCAGCACTCGCACGCTCTCCTAGGGGCCACCTCACATACAGCTCACAAAATCAGGCTTGCGCTGTGTGTAAGCTATTGTGCAACAACTGCCCCATTGTAAAAACAAAAATGCACTGCATGATCAAACATTTAGGTGAGATAATTATATTTTGGAAAATGTCTAAAAAATCCTCCAAAAATCCTGATTGGAGCACCCTTAATCACTAATTATTTACTACAATTTTATCTCAATAAAGGTAAAAAAAAAAAAAAAAAAGGACTTTATCGTGCACATCCAAAACCCAAAATGGGCTCAGGTGCAAGACAAAAAATAAATAAATAAAAGTAGATTTCCGTATACTGAAATGAAAGCTCCAGAAAGTTTTGATTGTAATAAAATTCTGGATATTTAAAGGGTGCAAACATCTTCCTTTATTTTAAAGGGGTCATATGACGTTGCTAAAAAGAACATTATTTTGTGTATTTGGTGTAATGAAATGTGTTTATGCGGTTTAAGCTTAAAAAAACACATTATTCTCCACATACTGTACATTATTGTTTCTCCTCTATGCCCCGCCTTTCTGAAACGCCTTTCGATTTTTACAAAGCTCATCGGTCTGAAAAGCAAGGTGTGCTCTGATTGGCCAGCTATCCAATGCGTTGTGATTGGCCGAATACCT